AATGCTCAGAAGCTATCACAGATAATAATGCAGATTGCAGTAACAGACAATTTTTGCTGTGAAAACATTTATACTTCAGCTGTCAAGGAGAACATGCATTGCTTAAACTTCCATCACACAAACTCAATGTATTTCTAATGATGACAAATGGGAAAGAAGAGCTATGCAGATGGGCTGTAAGGTATGCAATAGCTTTATCTGACACCCAGGCTTAGGAGTATTGCTCAGAGGGTAAACTCTGGCGTGGGAGATGTGAAGAGCCTTGTTTTGCACTTCAGCACTGGTTTGTCTCTTGACTGTTTTCTGTGTCTTGCAGCAGTGCTTTCTTCAAAAACAACTCAGCTCTGAAGTGCCAAGTTTAACAAAGGAAACTAACAATTGTGACTGAAAGTGCTCTCGGAAAGCTTAATAAAAGAAGGAAAAATTATTCTGAACATTGAAGTAATGTCATTCTGCCCCTTTTCAAGTACATGAGATGTGTATAGACATGAGGAAAAAAAGATAAGAATATATTTTTCTGTTTTGCTTTACCAGATGCTTTTCTGGCCATTTGCTTAAATAGAATCTGGCACTTCTTGGGTCATCTGGAAACATGTAAAGAAGCCCTAATAACAGAAAACAACAAAGCAGCCATCACTACTTTATAACCCACACTACATCATATGCAAAATCATATAATCATAGAATCTTTGGGTTGGAAGGGACCTATAAAGGTAATCTAGTCCAAAATGACAGCCTTAATCAGTTTTTCATGATTTCTACAGTGATGTGGAACAGCTAATCCTGTGCAAGTATTTTTTGTCAGCAGGAGTGAATTATGCTGTTACTACCTATAGAATGAATTTAGTGAGGAAGCGTACGTCTGGCACTGGGGGAAGCAGTGCCTGTCTGCCACATAGGTATTACATGATTTCATGTTACTGGCTGAATGACTTCATGTTATTTTATTCGAGTTAAAAACAGTCACTTTTCATCTTAACAGAGTTAAGAGATCTATAAGACCAACAGAAAGCCAGACTTGCTTTTAGGGTCTCCATCAGCAATATTTATGTGTCTAAATTTTCATTTAGGTTGCGAGCATCAAAAGTGAATTTTTTTTTCTTTAATCCACCATCCTTAAGAAAATGAAATGACATTTCAATGTAAGATTAAAAAAAATTGTAAAGTAACTCCAAAGGTGGTTTGAAGAGACTGTCTCTTGTGGATTGCAGTCTGAGACAGCTGCCTTGGCTTTTGTATCGCAAAAAAAAGAGACACCAGACACGCAATACATGTTTGTGCATTCTGCCTGGCAGTGATGTACCTAAAAATCTGGCTCACAACAGAGCACACACATTGCAAAATTTTTACGGTTCTTTAACTTCTCTCTTATATAAACTGGTAAGACCCCATGTAATTTAAAGTAAACATTAAAGGTAAATGGATGGGTATACTTTAACCTCAATGCTTCAACTTTCAGTCTGTATGAGACAACAAATACTGTTTATTTGCAGAGATGAAACAACTGTTACCTTAGGAAAGACAGCATTGTAAGAAGCACCATAAGAGGAAAGAAAAAACAGGTGATGCTTTCCTTCTGCAAATAGCTCAAAAAGAACCTGTTGGGAAAGCTTGAGCACATGATCCTGCACAATCACTTTTATATGTGAATATCCACAGTTGTAACATCCTAATTCCTGAACTGACTTAGCAGCCATATTTAAAATAATTTCTATGACTATTTAAGTACATAGCACTCCTGTTAGTTATCTCTAGCAGCAATAGCATTAAATTAGTAAGATAAAACAGCTCACCATAAAGAGCTTGTGCTAACATAAGGGAGGCACCAAGATGTTAGCAATGGGAGGACAGGCAAGATTGCTCCTTTCAGCAACAAGACTTGGACTTTTAATCACCTTTCAAAATTAGGGGCCGATACTGATTTATGCAGCAGCATTTACAGAGATGCGATTAAATTAGTCCTAGATAGGAAGAAAGTTACCAAGTTTCTAGTATTTAAGATGCACACAAAATAAAATCATTTAAGTCATAGAGAAAGTGGACAATTTCACAGAATCAAGCCTTGTTTTAAAGGAATTTAACAGGCACAGCTTAAAATATTTTAGCATTTCTCAAAATTCGGAAGATGTTCTCTGAAGAACATCTTGTCTATTGTACAAGAAACAAGTGTGTAGCATAAAGAATATCAGCTATTACATACTAGGTTGTACTAAGGACTGTAAAGTTGCTCACTCCAAAAACAGAAATGTTTTGAACTAAACCACTGTAAACATGAGAATCACTTTTTAGGCATATACATCTAAACCAATTAAGAACTGCCTTTACAGTTAGCATCAAAAACCAGGCACATACAAACCGACCCATTTCATCCTAACATAGGTATGTTCACACCCTTGGGTACTTCATGCCAGCTTTCCCAGGTATGCATGATGCCAGCAAGCAGTTTTAGAATTACAGATGCTGACTGCACAAATACAAAGCCTCCTTGAAGAAATACTATCAAATACATCTGTTGTGTTTTTTTTTTTTAACTAGGTCTCCACAAACACCTGATAAAGCTTAATCCACACAACTTAACTGCACTTTCCTTGTTTGATTGTTTTACATTCACATGAAAGTGGTTTCACCCATTAGAAATAGTTTATTTTCTACACTGTTTGCAAAATTTATTTTTAGCATGCATTGTATTGAATGACAGAGGCACATTCCAACAGAGTACTACAACTGTTTAGAGAATGAAAAACAACCAGTTAGTTTTCCCTCCACATGAGGTCTCCCAACAAGATTAGTTTTACAACAAAGTGCTTATTCTTCAAACTAATACAGCAACACTTGAGCCTATTTTATTTAACAGTTATTATGAGCAGCCTCCATCAAACAGGTTAATATTATTCTCATAGGACAGCCATCCAGAAATTTCTGAAGACAATGTCAATATTTTAATAGCTGTTTCTAAAAGCTTGCAATAACCTACCCCTGCTGTTTTAGCTGGCACAGAATTGTTTAGAAATTGGTCTGTGATCTGCACTGTTATTGGACAGGGCAAGTTTTAGCCAAATTAGCCTGATCAGTCTGAAACTGAGAGGGAGCAAGATCAGTGGTGTGTTTTGTTTTGTTTTAAATTTTGTAAGTGGATAATTAAAGATACTTCAAGCGATTTGTAGGCTTTCTATTAAAAACACTTTGTGAGGTGACCCATATTTTCTTCACAGAAAAAAGTCCTTGCATATGCTGCAAGTGTTATGAAAAGGACCAAAACCCAGAAACAGCCTTCCTGGGAACACATAAACAAGTTGCTATAAGCCGATTAAGAAGGTAATCAATAAACAGGGTTGAACAGAGTCTCCAAAAAAGAGCTTTAAAAAAAAAAAAAGCAGATGGAACTACATTTCAGGTTCTTTTATAAAATGTTAGAGCTAGTTTGCATGTTGCACTTTTCTCCATCAATTAAAATAGATTACTTCCCCTTTCGTTAGTCTAATAGTTATTAGCAACAGAGGTCACTTTCACACTGTAAGGTGTACACTGTATGCATAATCCTTTCTACTACCCTTAATATTTTGAGTATTAAGAAAATGTTCTTAAGACTTCAACACACTTTTCTCATTCTTCAGTGATCACTAACATGTGCACAACCTGTGCAAGTTTTGAAAATCCTGTCTCCAGTGAGCCTTGTAAGTTCTAATGATGCCAAGAGAAGAAAGATGACCCAGGACCTTCCTTCCACAGTGTCATGGGAAGCAAGAAGCAGGGGGAAGATGTTGCTAAGCGATCAAATGTAGGAACAAAGTTGAATAAAATGCCTTTTTTGGGAACTAAGCCACATTTCTGTAATCTTCACAGTGTTTTGCTAAGTTGCTTTTGTATTCCTATACTTCCAGGAAATCCAAAAGCATTTTAAGCTACTGCTGCTTTGTTAATGGCTCCAGTTCTTTAAGAGGGATTCTAAGATTTATTTGTAGATAAATGGTAAGTTACTTAGAACAAGAGAAACATTGCAATGATACCCTCATTTGTCCACCTTTCAGTAATTCTTTCTGAAGAACATCCAGTTTTGGAGCCTGAACTAGATTACATCTTTTGTATCCAATTTGTCTGGCTTTGTATTTAATTAAAAGGGATTTTTTTCTGTATGAAAAATTAGGCTCTGGAAATACATTTTTGGGTGGCTCTAGAAGCAACTACTGCAATACATTTTAAGGAGATGATAGTTCTAAAAACTGAAGCATTTTGAAACAGCTATAGTCAACATAATCTAAAATTTTGTATGCAACTTGTAATATGTCACGTACTTATGGCTCAATTTAGATCAACATCAATGCAGCAATTAGCAAGAAAAACCTCACCAGTCCAAGCTAGGGAGAAAGACACCTCTTAACTTGAAAAAACATAGATATTACTGCTAGTCCTTACAGAAGTTAGTCGAAGCAATAGCAAGGTACATTGAAACAGCAATTAGCTACACCCTCATCAACATTCTTGGTCACTTAACATAGCTATGTCAAAATTTTCAAGCTCCCAGGTGAAATGGCTGTTCACTAACATACTACACAATGAATTAATGAAACTTTAAAGCAACAGAAAAGGCAAGGCACACATAAGGAAGAAAACTGGATTGGCACTATTATTCCAAAGGTAAATATTTTTGACTGTTTCAATTAGGAGAAATGTTACAAAACTGTAAGATTTAATTAACTAATCAAAATAGCTTTCACCAAAATATAACACTAATATTGTTCTAACAATCATCATTTTCCTTAGGCCAAAAAACTAATGTTAGATCTGGTATCGAAAAAGCCCAAAGTTTTTAGCCCTGGAAGCTACTAAACTGAAGTATCCAGACATTTGAAAGTATTGCGTACTTTAAATTCCCATTAAAGGCAGTAGATGATGTTAGATATCCAGGACTAAAAATTTTGCCAACATTTTGAAAATAAACATTCACATTTAACAACAACAAAAAAAACCATGTACACGATAGTTCTTTACAACATTTTTTTTTTCCAGGAATCAAATGACAACATCTGATATAAGTACGGGGTCCCAATCCTCCTTTTTAGGCTACTGAAATTTATATATAGTATCTATTGGCAACACAGGACAGTTCAACACAGTATTCTCTTCAGAAAGCATCTGCTCAAAGTTTTAAATCTAGATGACAACGTTTACAGTGTCAAAAGTGCTTTTGCAATGAATATACTATTCAGACACATACAGTCTCAAAATACTTCATGAACTCTGAAATGGTTATCTAGGGAGGGAACATCATCAGCAAAATGCAGTTGATCATTTATTTCCACACCAAATTCTTCAAGTGTCTGTACAAATTTCTCATGCTCTCTCCCAATCCATGACCTCATGGTGTCAAACACTTGGTATGGTGTAACATGAGCATGAACTTCAATTCCTGTCTGTGCAAGTTCTTTCAGCACTTCAGGGTAAGTAACCCAAGTATTGCTTCCTCCCGAGTGACCACCATCCAACCAGTAAATTGCTTTTATGTTTTTTAGGAAGGTATCCGTATTCTTGTCTTTTTTAGCTTCCTTAAGCTCATAAAGCAGCTGGTTCAAAACCACACAACCTTTACTGAAGCCAATCAAAGTAAATGACACTGCACCTACAGCAGACGGTATAATGAAGTTCATAGCAGAATTATTAGAGCATTCACAATCTCTCTCTCTTTCTGTGGATGAGCAGCCATTTGTTGTAGGAACAGACTGTGGCTGTGATTTACAAGCAGCTATTTTTGCATCCTTGCTGACACCATGCACGCTTTTCTGGGACAGCAGAATATTCTGAGAGAGTCTGAATGCATTAACTAGCAATGCATGGAGATGCTTGAAAGCTCCAAAGTCAGTGCTGTGCTCTGGTGCTCCAAACATGTTGCTCGCCACAAAGTTGTCATAACAACTGAATTTGTGCAGGTGCATTCGAGAACACTTTACAACCCAAATAAAGCTATTAGGGAACCGTCGAGCAAGTATGGTAGCAACATTTTCAAAACTCCAGTGCTCCCACTGAAAGTTTTCTGGGTGGCAAGACATGATGTCATGATAGTTCTGAAAAATTCAAAAAATCAGAAAAGACACATTACTACATTGTGAAAAGACTTCAGCTCTGTACTTATATTCATAAGAAAGAACCGTAACTAACAGAGAAGTACGCATTAAATAAAGAGGCACTCACTTGCTAGGCTTCCAGAACAAGAAAACACGTTAAAGAAACTGGCATAATTAGATTTACTTAATCTACTTTAATATTTTTACCATGCATTTTTAATACCCCCAAAATTAATACAGTAAGAATAAGCACATGAAGTATTCATAATTTTTGTTGACTTCACTCCAAGGGAAGATTAAACTATTATTCAACTTAGTATGGTACAAAATACATAATTTCACTGTATTATCTCCATCTGCAGAAATACTGATTGTCTAATTACAGGCAAACAATAGACTTAAAACTTTGCAATGTTTTCTATCTGTTACAGAAGAAAAAACATTTCCCCCTCATTCAGCTGTAGGGAGTCTTTATTCCCCTTGTTCACATACATATGTGGCATGGATGGAAAAAAAATTAACCCTTAAGTCATGAATGCCCCTCACCTCTGAATTCATAATGGCAGAGAATGGTAACTAGTTTATTAAGCAATAATAAAGCCATAACCAGAAATAGTAATCAAAAAGGTTTTGTCAGGCCATCCCAATCCTCAAAATGAAAATCCGCAAAGTTCCCTATCTTTACCGTACAGAAAAGGAAAACCCTTTCCCTAGAACAAAAAAGACACTACCCCTGCTTTTGAGAAGTAATGAGTTTAGAGATTAGCTGACTACCCAGCGTATGCACAGTTACAGAGAGAGACCACATGCTGAGGGACAGCACTTCGGCGACTCTCTCTAATTTCTCGTCCGCTCTGAGACAACACGTGCCTTCTTCAGGGCAGGCTGCGAAAGCGTCAGCGCTGTGAAATACCCGCAGCACGGCGCCCGGGATGTTTGCAGAACACCTGCACAGCGACGCGGTGCTCAGCCTGCCGAGGACCGCTTGCCGTCTGAAGATTTCA